GGAAAAAAAAGAATTCATTCCCTCTTTCCCACTGGCAAGCAGGTGTTCAGCCATCGCCAGGAAAGCCGGGCTCCAGCAGACATAATGGCTACTTGGGAAGACAAACACCATCACTCAAAACATTCCTCTTGCCTCCTTCGTCATCCCCTACCTTTATATGCTGAGCATGATGTCATATGTTATGGGATATATCCCTATGGTCAGTTGGGGTCAGCTGTCCCAGCTGTGTCCCCTCACAGCTTCTTGAGAACCCTCAGCCTACTTGCTGGATGGGGTGGTGTGAGAAGAAGAAAAGGTCTTGACTGTGTAAGCACTGTTCAGCAACACCAAAAACATCCTTGTGTTATCAACACTGTTTCCAGCACAAATCTAAAATATAGCCCCACGCCAGATATTATGAAAAAAATTATCCCAGACAAAACTAGCACAGACTGAAGGGTAGTCCAGGAAGAGATGGTTGTGAGCAGCAGGGTGCCAGAGAAGGAGGTACATCACTGGCTCCACACCAGAGGTCTGACAGAGCCTGTGAGGTCAGAGGGCTGCAGGAGGCAGTGGCCTTCCCCTGCAGGAGGGTTTCCTCTTCTTTTCAACCCTACTCCACTGGAGCCAAGGTTTGAGCTGTTTCTAGGAGCAACCAAGATTAGAACAGAAAAGTACCAGAGATACCTTCTCTGGGGTAGAGAGGGAAAAACAGGTTTCGGGGGCAGCATTGACTTGCATTTTCAAGTTTAAAACCATTTTAGAATCTTTTTTAGTATGTGAGTTTACAAGTCAGGGTAGCTCTTGCCTTTCTCAGTGTTTCCTTGAGCTCTTCCAGGACAGATGGCTGAGTGAGCAGCACTGAGGACAGATGGAGAAGCATCACCGTGGGGATCACACCCAGGGCCAAGTTCCCATCTGTTCTGCTGCAGAGACACTTTCCACCATATGTATGCACCTGACTGTGCTGACCCCAGTGCAAACAAACAGACCCGCCTGTTCAACAGGATGACACTGCAGACCTCCATAACCAGGATGCTCAGGCTTGTTTGCCTTTCCCAAACTGTTGCAAATTATGGACAAGAAAAGGGGCTCCTGGTATGTATCAGACTTAGGGAGCAGACTCAGCTTCCACCCTTCAGCATCAGCGTCTGTGTCTTGAAATTCTGGATCCTATATGCACTACACGCTCAAGAGTCATGAGGGATCAGTCATAAACTCCCCCTTGGCCAAAACCTCCTCTGTTTGATGAAAGACTAGTCTGGGTTACAACCACAAGTCAGATGAGAAAAGACCCTGCCTGTTTTGCTCCCAAGTGGTACGATCTCTCCCCTGAGTGCGAGCTCAGTTGTTTTATTTTCAGGATGAAACAAATGCTGTAAGGAACCTCCAAAGTTGTGTGCTGAGAAGCAGAAGCACATGAGAAAACAGAAATCATGTGATTTCAACAACTTCTGGATAACGCATGTTGGTGTGCATGGGATGGGAAGCCACAGAGTATTTTATGTGCCACACTGAGCATAGCTCGGTGCTAAGGATGTAAGGCTGTAAGCCAGTGATGGGAAGGGCAGCAGATGCCAGACTGTGGGATAAGTATTGGTGCAGGGACCATGGCAAGGCATATGTGGTGTGTATGAGGCCTATCTGCTGCAGAACATGATAGACAGAAATGAACTGAGCCTGAGGACTGCCAAGTTTTACATACCTTTGCTAAAAGTCCAAAATAATGCCCGCTTCTCACGCTATGTGGTAAAATGTGTTTCAGCTACTAAAATATTGCTTGTTTCCTATGTTTTGACAGTTTTGAGGAAATTTTCAAAATAATCAGGAGAACGTGTTGGCATACTATATTTATATGGTAAATTTGATCTGAAACGTTTTGGATCCAGCATGCATCTGCTGTGCACAGAGCAGCACAAGCTCAAAGGGTCTGGAGAACTGAAGATGCTTCACGGAACTCAGCCAGACTCAGTGCCTGTGTGGGTTGTGGAGAACCACTTTCTCTCTCTAAGGCTGCACCTCAAATAATTTCAAATCTGTTTTTCTCTTAATTGTACAATCCCTTAGTCAGAATGGGGCTAAGGCCCATCAAGTACTAGGGAGGCCCTGTTGATTGATGTGTAAGGCTGAGAAACAGGGACACTTAGTGCTTATAGAGTCTGAAAACCAGAAAGGGGCAGAAGGGACATAAAGGTCTTGGAGAAGAGTTGTTCTGCAGCAAACTGGCAAACTTTTCATTTCACACTTTTCAGTATCAGTCTTCTTTCTGGAGTGATCTTGCCAATCCACATGATATCGTTGAGGAAAAAAAAAAAAAACATATTCTAATTAAAGATTTAATGTTGACAGAGATTTGACATAGTGAAAATCAGTTGTACTGGCTCAAATGTGGTTAAAAAGGCATACATAACAGAGCGATCACAGCACTTTCTCCTAAATAAACCCATTTTCCACAGGTGCTGAGCAGAAGTACAAGATTGCAGAACAGGAGTGATGCAGGAGAACAGCCACAGCTCATGAGGAGATGGGTCACTGTAGGAAATCCCTCTCCTGTCTGTGGTGGCTGTGTGACACCTAAGGAGTTAAGGTTCTGGGGAGGTTCGCAGAGGATGCGGCAGGTCCTTTTCATACAACCTTCCAAAAAGTGTCACTGTTAGGAGTGGTTTTGATGTGCCATGCTTACTTTTCAAACGTCCATCATGTAGCACCTAATTGAAAAGAGAAAAAACACTAGTAGTCTACTAACAGAGTATCAGTATTGTGTGGTACAGAAAGGATAGGCCTTAAATGTCGAATATTTTGATGCAACACTTTTAAAAGACAAGAACGAGACTGAAAGAAAACAGAAGTCTCTCAGGCTCTGCCATAGCTTTCCCACATTTCCTTGGACCTGAAGGTCTTAAAACTTCTTCCAGCTCCATCTTTGGGAAAAAAAAAAGAACATTTGCTCTACCTTATGAGAAGGTGAGAGTGAAAATGGCCAATATATTACATTCTCACTAGCTGCTCAGACATGGTACTGAAGATCATATTCATAGCCAAGACAGTAATTTGTAATTTTTTTTTTTTTTTATTTGTAGTCCCCAAAACAATTTCCAGATGGAAGTAGAGAATTTAAAACTACAAGCCACATGTTGTTTTTCTTAGTTTTTGCAGATCAATTTGAAATCATTATTGTTCATAGATTGTGAACTTCTGCATCTATTTAAGAGCCTATGAAAAACAATAAGTATGTATTTGTTAAGAAGATATAAAATACTTTTTTTAAAAAATACTTTTTAAAATTAGAACACGACCATATCTTAGCATACCAATAAATCCTTCAATGTGTATGTTTTTACAGAAGTCCCATTCATAGCAAATATACAGGATGAACAATGCTTTTCCACTATCTTGTAAAAAATCACACTTGTTTCCCTAAAACTTTTCACTGTCCTCATTGTCTCATGTAATCTATTAAATACCTCTTCCAAACCAATTAAGATTTCATCTAGCCTCTTTCAAAAAGGTAATCTAAGGTTTATAAATGAAGAGATATATGATGAAATTAAAAAAAAAAATAAAAATAAATCACAAAACCCTCAAAAATACCTTTTAACATCTTTAATTGCATAGGATTTCTACTCTTGTGCATGGTACTCTTTAGTGATTTTTCTTAGTTGGACTTAGTTGAGTTATGATCTGCAGAACAAAGAAAGTGGTTCTTGGATGGGACTCTGCTGATATTTGGTTTCCAGCACCACAGCCTGTAAAACCTAGGACGACACATCTCCAGGGTGTCCCATTACCTCAAACTCCCCGGGGGCCAGCTGCACCCCACTGTACAAGACTTCTGGAAAGACGTAGTTGGTGCCAAACGTGCCACTGAGGGAGAACATCTCAAACTTGGTCTGCGCCGTCTCCACCGGCTGCCCACACGTGTTCAGGTCTGTGCTCTTGCACTTGAGCAGCGTGCAGATCTGGAGGGAGGAGGCAAAATACTGTTAAGCTTTCCAGAGTCAAGAGCTGGATTTGATAGCAAGAAAAGTTCTCACAATGCAATAATGGACAAGTGTTTTCAGGTGGTTGGGATGTAGGCATATACAACACACATTCACCCCTACAAAACCAATTACCTGCCAATGGTATTTAATGAGAGAACCGTGAAGTCCATCAAATGCACCCAGGACATAAACTTCATCTTGGCTCTTGCTTGACATCCGATACACCAAATGACAGCAGAGGTCTCCTTGGCAAACTGTGGAATTTCCAGCTTTGTGCCTGAGTTCACTGAAAGTGAAGATATCCTGACGGACAGCTCCTGAAAAAGTGTCTTTTTCTTCTGGAAATTTCTGGATGGTTGTGGCATACAAGCTCCAGTTGACGGCAGGAGGGTAGGTGGGGGAAAGACGTGGGTGTGCTCTCAGCTCTGCTAGCAGGAGACGTCCCTCCTCGGTCACACTGTCATAATGGTAGGCAGCAGGTCCCTCCGGTGTGAACAGCCCGCTGCCTGCCGAGGACAACCACCAGCCCTCTGTCAGCCTGGAGCACGGCTCAGCAGAGGGGCCAGCTGCCCCCCATGCCACACCAGTGGGTTTTTTCAGTGACGTTATTTTCACTCAACACATTATGGAGAATTTTGAAAGAATTTTAAAGTGCAGAACTGTTAAAATACACATCAGAGTGTAAAAACATGACCTCGACTTCATAGGTTTTGTGCTTTGCTGGATCTTGAATCTGAACCTTAAGTGACAATTTGACACATGACCATGTCTTTTTAAAAAAAAAAAACAAGGTTCATTTAAATATAAATCAGAGCTCTAAGAGTGGCATGTTTGCTAAAGAAGGACACCATGGGGGTAACTACGTTGCACAGAAGAAACTCAGTTCTGTAGCCTAAACTCAGCTCTAGTCTATTTAAGGCAGGTAAAAACATTCCTTTGTGGCTTTCACTTTGGCTTCAGAAAAGTTATAGATGTAGCTGCAACAATGTTTTCTTAGATTAAAGGGGAACAAAGAAAATGACAATAAATAACTATTCAGATCAAACCAAAACACAAATGTCTCTAATTCTTCAGAAGCCACAAAAACTTGAAAATGTTTTATTCAATATGTATTCAACTTTTGGTTTTAGGCTATTAAGTTCTGTTTAAAACATTTTTTCTCCATTTAACTGCTGATTGAATTAAAAAAAATGCTGCCTCTAAATAAGAGACTGAAAATTTTAATGAAACTTTGTGTTATTTTAAAAATAGCACTTCATTTTTGAATTCTCAAAATCTAACGTCATGGAGTTCCTAAACTAGCTTTCCCAGAACATTCAACATTTTATTGCCCGAAGCTGTTACATTCTGTAGAACATCGAGAAGATTTTTAGTCTGATTGAAGCACTGCTTCCCAGAGATTTCACTATTTGTAAAACATATCTGCCTGCTTCTGAATCCAGCACTCTGAAGACCGCTTCCCTTGTCCCAAAGGCAACTCACCTGTCATTGCAAAGTCAGTGTTGTGAGTATTTGCTGAAAGTAAATTGACACCCATGCCCATTGCCCAGGCAGAGTGAAACTCAACTGCAGTCAGAAAGGGCAGGACATTCATCCAAGCCGTTGGGAAGAGCACGGTGTCCACCTGCAGCTCGCTCACTAGGACCACGGCAGGCTCACGGAAAAGGATGTCGAAGCAAGTGAAAATGCCAAACTTCCCAAAGGGAGTCTCAAAGGTGATGGTTTCTGGCTCTTTTGGGTAATTAAACTGAGTTTCTCTTCTAAACAGGTTGTACTGCAGGTGGAGAATATCATACATGAGAAATTAAAAATTAGGTAAGATTATGAACAGCTATTTTGCATCTGAGACAGGCTTTAAGGCAAAGCTGGGGGTTGAGATACCTGAGCTGGCCAGCAAACCAGTGGGTTTGCATCCATCCAGCCGACCCTCTCACCCTGGGGGTGGCTGTGCCCCACCTGCCTCCTGGGAGCAATACCCAGCCAACACCAACTGCTAAACCCTGCCAAGACATCACCTGTAAAAGCTCTCTCTGGGCTTGGCTAAAACTGTACTGAGGACCTGCCAATGTCTATAGAAAGCTCTGTCACTGCTTCTTTCCAATTGAGTATCAAAAATGTAGCCCTTAGGTGTTGGCTCGCTGGCATGCACTCTGCAGCTGTGGTGCTCCTGGGAATAACGCCTGAGTGATCAAGCACTTGCCTACTTTTCTGCCCATAAAACCCCTGCCTCAGATTATCCTGGATTGATTGTTGCTTTACAGTAATGTAAAACTATTGCAAAAACTGGATGAAATTGGTGCCAGAGAGATGAAAAATATACTGATAATCAATTACAGGGTGATGCTGAAGCACCTCCTTACCTTGTGGTAACGAGCCACAAGTTTCCCCTTTGGATCAAAGACAACATCAGTGTTGTACTGATAGCGACCATCGCTGGGGCAGCTGGGATCACTGGAGTTACACAACTTCTTGGCCCCCATGTTTGCAACCATATAGATGGAGTTATTCCTGGCCATGCAGCTGAGTCGTTCCTGCACTGGAGCAGGAGCAAATCTAATGTATTTTTGGTGGAAAAAAAAAAAATCTTAAAATTTTAAGCTCAGATGTGGAAGAAATGCATTCAGAATTACTATTGCACTGACTGCACATCCCCAGGTGCTGAAAAAGGTATAGATCAAACCATAGTTTCTGTTAATTTTTTGCTCTGTTCATAGCATCATTTTAAATTGCCAGTCTCGCAGCTTTAAAAAGTGGTCTCCCTGTGTTCTTCTTTCTTGTAGCTTTAACAATGTTATTTTGTATGTGGATATAATTCCTGGCTAACACATGTACAAAGATATGGACAGCTTGTGAAAACAACAGAGGGAATGTATATTTCAAAATAAATTTTCATGCAGATCTAAGCATTAATTTCAAAAGACCATTTTAGCCCTTTTTAAGACTTTTTACACTAAGGCAGCTGCCTCTAAACCTTTAGTAAAAAGTGGACACAGCATTCATAGAGCTGAAGACTCCTGAAACCTAGCTTCATCAGGTCTCAGAGGAGAAGAATACAAAAGCTTAGCTTAGGCATGGACTTGGTCCTCCTTGTGTCCCCTGCTGACATACATGCAGAGCAGCCCTGAGTAGTAACACAGAAGACTGAGCAAGCAGATGAATTTCTAAAAGTCACTTCCTTCAGATCTAGATAAATGTTTTGTGTAATTTGATTTAGAAATCACTCAGCTACATCAGCTGAGGACTGAATCACCTCATCTA